CTTCTCTCTCGCCAATATGAAGCGCGTCGCGCAGGATTGTAACGAATATTTTATGGTAACAGATACGTCCGTTAGTATTGCAACCGGGTAAATTGTAGCCGCGGGTAACAGAGAGAGAGAGAGAGATGTGGGAAGCTTGCTCTTCGCTTGCCGCTCGTGTAAACGCGCGGTTTACATTCTCGAAACTGTTTGCAACTTGGCAGCACTGTCACGATGAAAAATATATCCCGAACTTTCCTCTGACGTAAGCGACGTCCGGAAGGGATCGGTTCTCGGAGTACTTCCCTTGTCGGATTACTTCCCGAAGAAAACTTGTTAAGCTCTCACTCGACAACGAGATCGGGCCCCGTAACACGCGGGAAATTATACTTTAATTACTTCGATTCGCGCGCGGGGAAAAAGGAAACGAGAGAGAGAGAGAGAGAGGGGGGGAGAGGAAATGCGCGAAACTTCGCGTGTACGTAATGACTAAAACATCGGCAGCGAATATAATTCCCGCACTTTCGGAAATATGAGCGCGCCCGTCGGTCATGCGATACACACCATTTTGGTTACTGTGTCTCGCAAGCGCCGTGTAATCGTTATCGCGATATATTTTGATAAACGCACCGTAGCGCTCTCACGTCGACGCTATCGCGCGGAGACAGATTGAATGCGCGTAGAGATGGAAGGAGCATCTCGCTGGGGCTCGTCGAGGCGGATATTCGTCTTCTCTAATTAACTGTGAATTTACTTCCCTGCCCGACGGGCATCGTGGGATTGCCGGAATATCGAAGAAAACTGGAATCGGACTAATTATATTACGGAGAAATACATACGTCGCTACCATACATATGCATGTTATACCGAAACACGCGCATATTCGTATTACTCTCTCTCTCTCTCTCTCTCTCGTTCTCGTATCTGATTTAAATTGGATCGTCTCTAAGACCGAGGGTACCTGCCAATTTGCTGAGTCCACAAACTATTTCGTCCTTGCGCGAGTTACTCCCCGGGCTTTCTGCATACGAGCTCCCGGATACCCGTTTAGTTTCTACAACGGTAGAAGAGATCTATTTACTAAAATTCCCGAGTATCTTCGTTTGCGCGCCGTTCGTTTGCCAAATGAACGATCAAAGCCCGTGTCTTCCGTTTCGCTCGCGTACGTGAATTCGGCCGTGCCTTTTAAAACTGGTCGGAAAGCTTTGACTTCGTTTCCCGAACGGAACTCAAAAATCGACGAAAAATTCGCGCACAGTCGGAACGGCGGGCAACAGAGGGAAGAAATGCGAGGAAAAACGTTCTGGTTCTTGCAAATGGCGAATTCTAATTCGATGCTTCGAGCTTGATTACGTACGACACGCGACATATAATAATTAGGCATACGAAATGTTCTCTAGTGTAAGCCATAATGATAATTTCATACATCTCTTATTATTCCTGATTATCAAAAGCAATTAATAACATTTCCCTGTACGCGATTTTCTTGATAAGAGCCGCGTGTATATATATATATATATTTTTTTTTTTTATGTATAATGGACGGTGTGTTACCTGCGTGACAAAAATATTTTATTACTCCGCGACACGAAAATACGCCGGCGGCTAAGTTAGATTAATGCGCTTTGATACCCTTCCAGCGTTTCTGCATCAGCAAAAATTGTTTTACGCAAACATTTTTGTCGCACGCTGTGTTCATTTCCTCTGCGCGAAATTGCAATAAACTCTCTACACGCTTCTTCTTTTGTTTATTATCTGCGCCGATATTCGTGTCGTGACGGCAGTTCGATAAAAAACAGCTTGCAATTATCTCGAGTGTTATTGAGATCAGGATGTCGCAGGTGCGTGAGTATGTGTATATGTATGTGTATACTCATTATTGCTCATTATCGGCAGCATCATTACTGTTCTTTTGTTAATAATACCGATATTAGCGCGAGACATCTCGTTTTCGAACTTCAAGTTCGGGAACAAGTGTTAATATTATCAAAAAAAAAAAAAAAAGGATAAAGGAATCCCTTTAAAATACAAGAAATAAAATAATTATCACGTTTCCTACGATACACTCATTCCGTAGTACGCGTGTAATAACAGAATATCTTCCGTGACTAGCCGTCAATCGTGTCCGTTCGTTTACATTCACATTGCACATCCACTTTTCCCCGTCACCGCCTCGCAAAAAAAAGACATCAAGGCAAATAGCCTATGACGCGCGAATGCACGGGGATTCCTCGCGGAAGATGCCCTGCCATTAGTAGCGACGTTGCACGCGACCACGCAATTTCAGAGTTACGAACTAGCCGACGCGATGGTCAGCTAACTCGCGGCCCTAATTGGTCTGCTTTTGCCTCTCTTGATTACATACAAAGTAATTAAAAGTGTCGCCAGTCTACTTCACTTTTCGCCAAACGACTCACCTCATCTCACAGCTTAATACTGACAGTCTCCCCTCTCTCCTCTCTCTCTTCCTCTCTTTCTCCCTCGGTATTAAATTCACTTACGCGGCATATTCCGTTGAATAACATCCGTTGCGTTTGCGCGCTATTACCGCAATACCGTTACTGCACCGCACTTATCTCTCTGAGTTTATTATTGATGTAATTCCGCTATTACTACGTAACCGCGCGCGCGCCCATAGCTTCGCTTTACATTGCCGCGATCATCCGCGACCGAGTCAACGGTCGCGCCGAAACTTAGGAGTCAACAACAATCCGAAGAAACGCCGGTACAACCGCCGTTTTTTCAAAGGCGATGGGTTATTGGGCAAAAAGAGCCCGGCCGAAGTTTCAGACGCGGCAGATGTCGCGTGCAAGAACCTCGTGCCAATTAGGCATTACGCTGTTTATGGTGTTTCCGGACCCAGAAAACGGCGGGCTGGACTCTGACTCGCAGAGTGCACCGCACGACGTAAAAATCCGAGTTCTTCTGGCGTATGTATTTGTATATTTATCATGCGAAATCACCGAAACGTATGATTTTGCGGCTAAAGTAATATATTGTTCGTGAGTTTTGAACGAAAAGAAGATAAATTTTGAGTTCCGGCGAAATATAAAACGGCTTTCACCAAACTCTAATTAAATTAATCGATGAACAGAATTTCCAATATCAATATTCACCCGTGCAATTTGTCATCGAATAATAACTGAAAAATTAATAGGAAAATACGTATGTTCAAATATTAACATCTTCCCACGGTTTAAATCATATTCGCACGCAATATCTGCGATTGATTCTAAATTGGACCTGTCTGTCCTTGTTCGGTTTTAAACCCAGTCTGTTTATACGTATAATCTAAAATATGAAAAATTTCCACTACTTTAGTAAAATAAAGTGGATGGATAGTCAGATGAAAGTCATGGCTTAGAAGGTAAATGTGTGATCGGGATGAAATCCAAACGCGCACGAGTCGATATCGCATAACCGATATGGACATTTTTTCCATTAGTTAAATAAACAAGTAAATAAATAAAGAAAGATTAATGGACGTATGGTTGAAGTTTGGAGAGATATTCGAGCGAAAATTAACAATTTTTTTTCAAATGTAACCCCACTAGAAACACAAAGATATAGAAAAAATAATAGAACGGTGCAAAATGTGTCGATATTAACAAAAAATGAATAAGAAAAACAAAAAAAGACTATATGCGCGCAGTTTTCAACGCAGTGGTAAACGGTGAGCTTGCGGGTTCTAGTGATTAACTATTTTTTTTGTAGTCAGGGACATTCGATAAAATACAAAAGTATTATCTTTTGCTTGTGCAGAATGCTCAGATCTTTGGCAGAAATTTTTATCTTTGTGGTTGAGTGTGCGCGCTTGGACTTAGTCTATTATAGAGGTCTTCGGGATATTTGTTTTCAACAAACTACTTTTTTTCTAAAATGTATCGTTCAACAGAGTGTAAAGCTACTGTCATTTGTTTGCACAAACCATCGAGGCAGGCATTTTAATTTAGGTTCGCGCGCGCAATATTTTCCATTTTCTTCTTTATTTGTGTTAACATCGATACATTTTGCACAATTTTATTGCTTCTTGCACATCTGTGTTCTTTTACTTAGGTTAAACTTAAAAAAAAAATTTTTCGCTTGAAGATCGCTCCGTACTTCAAGCATATTCAATAGGCCTATTTATTAAGATCCAAAATACGAATGCGTTTTAGTTATATAGTTATTATATTGATAATATTAAATATTAATATTATCAATATTAATATGTATGCGGGAAGATACAGTTTTATCATATATGTTTTAGTGCTATTAAATATTAATATTATCAATATTAATATTATAATACTATTCTAATACTTACTTAATATTGGCATTATTAAATTAATATTAATGTCTGCGAGAGGTTAAAATTTGACCCTTATATTGACGCACACATCGGATAATTCTCATGCTTGCGTAAGCGAATAGAAATGATTAATACTTCTTATATCAATATGGAATCAAAAATATTTCTGGTATTGGTAAATACAGGACTATATAAATCGGGAATAAAGAATTCGCTTAGTAAACATTTATTCTCCGCGTGTGCAAGATGAAAAATTACCCAGTACGTGCGTCGATATATAGTCAAGCTTCATCTATTCGCAGACATATTAATATTGATTTAATATAGTATCAATATTTAACACGTATTAGAATAATATTAAATATTGATATTGATAATATTAATATTTAACATCACTAAAACCTTTGTTTTTAACCTTCCGTTAGTCGTAATTCCGTTAGTCGTATCGCACTTAAATACATTCGGCTATAAAGCTTCCTTTGCTCTCACTTTTCTCCATTGTTTTTCACGTACTTTAGCGCCCGTTGGCCAAGCGAAGAAAGAGAAATTGTTTCAAGAAGCGGAGGAAAATAATGGGAAAATTAATGTATCTGTGAGAGATATTTGCGACCGTTCATGGATGAAAAATATTTCGACCAGGAAGGTTAACGGAGCCATTATAATCTTTTTTCCTTTCGTTAATTGAATAAATAAATAAATAAAGGATCGTAGACGCGACAACTAGACTCACCTGGAGAACGGACTGCTGATGATGTAATGCGTGTAGTAGAATATACTGATGATGGAGATGATGAGAAGCGCCGCGACGCACCGCTTCACCGTCGCCTGCTTGACGACGCAGCGCGGACCGACGGCGCCTAATAGAGGAACGCCACCTTCGCTCGCGGATATCTTCATCACTATCGTCTCATTCGACGTCGTCTCTGCGGATGCGACAACCGCCTTGCGGATTATCGCGTGGTCCTTGAGCGTGTCAGCCGGCGTGTTTGCCCGCGGCGCGTTACGCTATTCAGCGGATCCGCGCGAACGCGAGAGATCCGGTTGCAGCACCAAGAATCGTCCTCGTCGTCGTCGTCGTCGTCATCGATTCTCGGCAAGTGTCTCCTCCTCCGTTCGCTCAGCATTGAACGCTGCCGTCGCCGTGAACTCGCAGCCGAATTCTTCCGCCGGGCGTCCGCGCGCAGCATTGGGTCGCGCTGTATTCTTTCAGACACGTTGATACCGCGGCGGCGCTCTTCTTCATTCTGGACGAGTCACCGTGTGTGAATTAAGATCCCCCTTGATCCCTGCGCAATTTCGCAGCAAAGCGGGGACACGTCCTTGAGCAGCGACGGACAGGAGCGGCCGGCGATCGGGAATCGAGCTAAAATCCCAGCTCGGGGCTACACTCGGTCGTCGAGATTCTTCGCGCCGCGTCGATCCCTCGGTCAGTGAAGTGGCCTTTGATAAGGTTAACGAACAGCATCGGGGCCTCCTCGACTCTCGGCAGCCCGAGCCGAGACTCGTTTCGCCCCGATGAGGTAAATCTACTTAGCTCCGAGGCCGAGGGTCTAGTCCTAACGAAGAAATTTCGAGACGGTTGTGTTCGAAACGGATTCAGAGTTCATTAGACGCTTAATCCCGCCGGCATCGCGAGCGGGCGGGCTCGCGCACAGCACGTCCCTCCTGGGAAACACGGGCGATCCTGCTCCTCCTCCAGCTCGAGTGCTCCGATCGCGAACCTGATCGGTCCCGGATCAAGTCCCCTCGTCGTCCTCCGTCTGTCGAGTAACATCGATGACGTCTCAGCATCGAGGATCTGGACACCACTTGTTGCACTTTCGAGAGCGCGGTGCGATCGCCATTTCACAAGCAGCACGCGCTGTCAATCGCGACCGCGGCTTTTAACCCATCTGGGCTGGATTGCGCCGGTGGTGGAGTCAAGCCTCTCGGAAACCTCGGCGACACCGAGTGGCGCGGCGAAACCTCGTCGTCATCCTCGTCGAGTGGAAAATCGCGTTCTCTCTCTCTCTCTCTCATGAGCACGCGAACGACGTGGCGAAGGGCGCGGCGCCGTCTCGTCGTCGACGATTCAGGTTCATGTTGTCCCCGGGCGACGTCTGCGAAACGAGCTGTGCGAGTTGTCCTTCGGGCGTTCGCGCGGGCGGCCCCGAGACAACAATTCGCCACGTGCGCGGGCGCAGCGACAAGCGGAGGACGAGAGCGAGCTCGAGCGACCTCACATCCGCGTGCTCGAATTCTTGCGGATCCTCGCTGGCTGGATAGCTGCCGCCTGCTTCCGGTGTCGTTGCACGGCGAGCCGGTTCACGGCTGGACCATTTGTTACGGCGGCACGACCGCCCCTAGACGCCACCTTGGACCCTGCGCGACGTGCAAGCAAACCGGCTCACTCGTAAATTTCGAACGTTGCTCCGCGTCTTTCCCCGTCTTCCCCCGCCGCCCCTCTTCTCATTCCCGTTCCTAGTCTTCCGTCGGCGTCCTTCTCTCTTTCTCTCTCTTCCGCCCTACCTCTATCCCTTTCTCTCTTCTATCTGTCAATTAGGAACGATGTACAGGCGCGGCGCTTCCTACACGAAACAATCTTCGGAGTTTATCTCCTCCCGTCGACGACCCTTTCCGCGCGGCGGCGGAGAAAACCGCGCATCCCATGACACCTTCTGTAACAATCCAGACAGAGAGGAGAGAATTAGGAAAACCGTGAAAAGAGGCACCATTACGGAGCTACGGTGATACTTGTTCTCGACGATGCGATGTTTCACTGGCCCGTCCGGCCGTGCAAAAATATCTAAACGTATTTCGGCGGTTATTAATATATACGTTTGAAAAATATGACCTATCGCGCCGTGGAAATTTATGGCTCGGAAAATACGGGCGCGCCCGTCGGCGGTTTCTTTTTCTGCCGTACAATTAATCTAAAATTATAAATCGATATAGATAATGTATCAATCGCTCGTGGGGATAACGGCGCAAAAAGGGATGACACGCGCTCGCTCGCGAGTCATCTCGGGACGATTAAACAACAGCGGCCAGAGACGATTACGGCGCGCAACAACTCCAATTAATCGAGCGTGTTACGGTCGTAGCGCTCGCGGACGAACGAGCGAGCGCGAGATGCAGCTTTCTCTCGGTGCTTCTGGCCTCCTCTTCCTCCGAGCTAATTTTTTTCTCACCGGTTATACATCCGCCCTCGGCAAGAAGTCCATTAATCAGACCCTCAGCCTGCCCTTCTGCCCTCCCTTTCGTCCTAGCTCTAGCGCGCGCAGCCCCGCGGCGATACAAACTTTCGTTTTATCCGTTGTGTTCGCGCGAGTCCATTCGCCGTCGACCCTCCGATTCCGGCAAAACGAGAAACGCGACAAAAGGCGCCGGGGATAAATTGAAAATGAGACTGCGGAGCGACAAGAAACGCGCCGGAGAAACGTGGAAATGGATAGAATCGATGTCAAGGAGGCCCTCCGGAAGAACATCGCCCTCCGCGCGCAACCTTTCCTTTACCGTTCTTACCCGTCGTCTGCTCTCTCGCTCTTTCTCTCTCTCGTCTCCCGGGAGCTGACCCGACATTTTTCCTAGGGAAAATATTGATACCGTCCACGGAGCGTCGGGCTGATTTCGGTGAATCGACGGTAGAGAGTGGATGCGCGAATAGATGGGTAGGTAGAAGCTAGCTAGAGGAGAAGATTCGGTCTCGCGAAGGGCGGAGATCCGACGACATCGACGCACGGAATTTAATTACACGGCCGGAATGACTGACACGCTAATGGGTGGACGGGGGAGCTCGCGCTCGGCCGACGAACTTTGGCAATACCTTCCGCCCGCTTTTCTATTCCCTCGTCCTCCCGATCGAAAATCCTCCGGCGTTCTTTGACTCGCTGACGTGTAATGATGGGATAGTTCGTCCGGAATGAAACGAGTTCGGCGGGAACGAATGCTTGGCGCGAACAACAACAACAACAACGCGTTGCATTGGAAATTGCACAACGGTAACGTCGTTACGTGTTTACGTGCCGCGTGGCAAAATAACACGCGGACGCTATCGTTCTGCTGACGTCACACGCGTTGTTATCTATTACGCTAATAGTTTTCAGCGCGCTTCAAGTGCGCGTAACACGTGATAAAAGAAAGAGAGAGAAAAAGGATGGCTCAAATAAATATTTTTTACGCGACACGAGAGCTCTCTCTCTCTCTCTCTCACGTGGCGCGCGTTAGTCCCTTATTTCGATTGCCCCGCCGTCGGATCGGATGTTTAAACAGTCGCGCGAGATGACGCAATTTCGAGTCCTCCGCGCGGCTGACGCAACGAAATACGCGCGCGTCCGGCTGGCCTTATTCGAGCTGCCGCTCTGCTACTCCACTACTCTGTTACCCCGTGCTCTGTTGCCGCTGCTGCTTCTTCGAGAGCAGTCCGAGAGTTATTTATCGCGCCGGGCGAAAGCGGTAAATAAAATTTATCGCGCCGGCAGTCCGCCTTTTATTTAGATATACGCAAACGTCCGTACACTAAAGCATCCACCTTAATTCCGCACGGCGCACTCAAGCGCCTCCCGTAATATTTTCTCGGCGTACACGCACCCGAAGTTTTCTCCGACGACCGGCGCGCCAACCGGCAGCGCGAGTCGATTCGTTTATTGCACGGAAATAATTCCTTCGAGGTCTCCTAGATCCACCCGCTGCCGGGTGCTTAATTCGAGAGACACGTTTTGGCTCCCCGAGAGGGTCGTTAGTCGGATGCATCACGTGCGCGCGGATTTAAAGGGGGAAACCCACGTAGGTAGCGCGCGAGATTGCACGGCTGGAAACTATTCGATTGGCACGAAATGATTACGGCAGCTTCGCCTCCTGATTATTCGCGTTCGAACGAAACCATCTTTCTTCCGCGCGCCCAAGAATCTTGACTCGGAGCCGTTCTCATCCGACGGGGGTTCCCGCTATCCAATTTCGCCCGGGCCACTCCGAATATTCCGCCATGCATTTTATAAAACAGTTTTTCTCCTCGCTCCGCATTGCGGAGCCGGCGGGTCGGGTACTTCGGTAATAAGTTCTTCGATGCGGACCGATGACGTACCAACATCGCAAGACGACGCCTTCGACACGAGAGAGAGAGAGGGTGGGCTTCGATATCTCGAAAATTGCGGTAACCTGAAAAGTGCGACTAATTCTGAGCGACTATCTCAGCGATACGCGAGCGGTTCTAACCTCGCGTCGAATACGGGGAACAGATAGGGTAGATGGCACAGCAGAACGATGAGGGATGACATATTTTTTCTCCCTCTTTCTCTCTCTCTCTCTCTTTTCTTTTTTTCTTTATTGATGTCTCGCCGTCTGTGACGGGGACAGTAACGCTGATCCCCGGAATGTCACGTCGCTTTTTCACAAAGTGATTGGTACATTTCCTTTTATTTCGTCGTGAAACAAAGGGCCGTGGGAGATCCGCGGGCTTCTCCCAAGAGAGAATGCTTCGTAGATACTGGAATGCCGCCTCGCGTGAGACATATTTTTCGAAGATAGGTCACGCTCGCACCCCGGTATGTGTCAGCTTTTCGAGAGATACGATAAAGAGGTGACCGCGCGCGCGTCACCTTTCCGATAAAAGTTTTCAAGAAAGGAGGTTCCCACGCCTCGAGTACACAATACGGGGAGAATCGACGTGCAAAATTGGTTTACATTTATATTCGACGGAAAACAGAGCGACAAACGATCGACTTCGCTATCCGAACGTCGGGGGACTCTGCATTTTACCAGCTTATTGCACGATATAATTGAAGAATAGACGCTTCCAAATTGACGAGGTGTCTCATTGGCGGAAAAGTCGACGCGATGCCGCGTAAAGTTAAGTAACGCGCGCGCAAATGCAAACCCTCCTCCGTTATTCAACGACGACGGCGACGACGACGACGAGAAGCAATCTCTCGTGCGGGAATTTCAAGCGAAAGGGCATTTCGCTGTGCAGTCGAGCTTCAAAGAGTTAATAGAGGAATAAACAGTGCACATCGAGCGGCGCAGTGCGGGCGCCGTGCTACGCGTTCGCTACGATGGAAAATTTACGCGACGAAATGACGCGGCAGCCCCGGCTTCGTTTCCGAACGACGGACAGCTGAAATTTCTACCGGTCGCAATATGTCACGTCGCTTTGTGATCCTTGGATTATAATCTATCGCGCACACATAGTGATATTGCTCTTTTTTTCGCCGACCGTACACCGACGGCGGTGAGCACGAAAAAACAACGACCGGATATAACGCCTATAGCGTCCCGGCAGGCAGGCAGGCCGGCCGGCCGGCGATCTCTCGCTTTCCGGCGCAATTCGTTGCACGTACATGCACGACGTGCTCCCGTGTGTACACACGTAAACATCCGTATACGTACGTGTGTGTGTTTTTGGCCAGGATAGAAGCGTGAAATTAAATCCGAGAAACGCGGACACGCACACATACACACACGCGCGCGCAGACAGGCAGAGTTCGTCCGCCCCCTGTTGCTCTCTGCGGCTGCTGCTCTGTGCACCATGATATCGCGATATAATATTACGCGACCGCTCTCCGGCGGTTCTCGTCCAGAGACAGACGGTTTCGGCTTGCGTCCGGTCGCGAACGGAACTTTTGAAAAATGCGAATCGCGCGGGACGAGCGTTATTTATGCGGGCGATCCGGTGCGAATTAAAATCCGCGCAAATTCGCCGGCGAGATCGAGACGATTTGCCGATGAGGGGGGCGCGTGCGGAGGATGAAAGGCATGTTCGCGTGCATTAACGGCGATGTACGCGCGTATTATAAAAGATTCAGATAGACGCGCGAGATATGCAAACGAGAGAATTGACGCGAACATAACAGCAACGTCGCCGCTCGCAATGCGGCCCTGGATCTCCGTCGAGCTCCACCGTCCTCGTCGTCCCGGCGCGTTCCGAGGCGCATCAGTGTGCGCAAACACGTAGAGTGTTTTGAGAAGACAGTGGAAATGGCACGCGAGCGTGTCTTTGCTCGCGAAGGAAATCAAATATCCTGCCTGATAATTACAAGCCACGTGCCGTAAGAAATGAGCGTGTCGCGCAGACGGGCGAGGAAATTAGCTGGGAATTTGCATACCGCGCTCGTGTTCGGCCGACGCGGCGTGATTATACGAAAAGGTGTGACCGGTGTCAAACAGCTATTTGTAACCTATCGGGACGCGATGGAAAAAATTGCGGTTGACGAAGCAAGCGAAAATTTAAACGATATTCATTCCTGTCTCTCGTTCCTCCCCCTCGGCTGTATGGACAGGAAGTAATTTATTAACGAATAAATATAAATATCGGAAATATTAAAAAAAAAAAAAAGAAAAGGGAAAAGAAATAAACGATGTTGGACCATCGGAAAAACGTAACAAAGAGAGAAAATTAATACTAGCGGCGTTTGCGGCAACGCCGAAACAATAGAGGCGACGGAATCCCGACTTGTCTCGGGATAGATAGACACTGTGCGTTATATCCCCAGGTATCGGTCGTGTTTAATGTTCGCGAAATCGCTTCGCAGCGCCGGAATCGAGCGGGTTGGCCACATATTAGCGCGCGAATAGCACCGAATTCCGCGAAATAATTAAAAGCCGGTCTCTCGAAAATGGAGATCCCGGCTTAACAACTGGCTCGTTTGATATTATGACGTCGAGGAGCGTCGAAGTGGCGCAT